CTGCATTGGGAAAGATAAGGAAAAGTCTTCCTAAAAAAAATGTCTCCTACAGCCAACCACCCTCCTGCACAGCCCTGCCTCCTGCAGGAGCCATCTCTGGTGCGTGGTCCTGTGCCCACCTGATCTTTCTTAAGGGCTTAGAGCATGAAGGGGCAAGGAGAAGACAAAAATGATTTATTTTGTAAAGCAGTGCTTCTGGCTGCTCCCCAAAGGGCTTCTGAAGATGTCTTCCAAAGGGGAAGGCAGCAATAAGTGGGAAAAACTGCTTGCCAGGGAGCAAACATGGAGTTGATTATCCCAAGTGTGTCATAGTGAAACAGAAAGCCCTTGCTGATAGAATCTTACATGGGGAAAGGCATTTCAGCAATGATCCTAGTGAAGTTGTTTTTTTGGATTTGATAATTAAAAATCCTCCAGGTGAAACATCTAAAAATATGTTCTCCAGCTTAAAAGAAAAAGGGAGTAATTTGGGGAAAATGCTTGATTTGAAATGCCTGTGATTTCTTTCAGCGGAGTTGGTAACAATCCTCTCTTCCCATATAGGATCTGAAGAAGACTTCAGAGAAAAACAGGACAGTGGTAAATCCATTGTAAATGGGAGAAGTTTTGTGTAGAACTCCAGTTTTCTTGGAAATAGGTACCTTTTTTCTCGTTAGCTCCACTCCAAAATAATTTGATTAGTGGACTATTTCTTTGAGTTCATCACCTTTGAACCTGCTGCAGGAAGCCCTGTTGGGCTCTGGCTGCTCAGAGCCTGAGTTGGACTTGGCTGCCTCTGAATTCTGGCTAATCCAAGTGCAGGGGCTGAAGTAGCTCTTCTGCAGCACGATGAAAAAGACTCAGGATGAAATGGAATCATAGAATACCCTGAGTTGGAAGGGATCCACAAGGATCATAAAGTCCAACACCTGGCTCCACACAGGACCACCCAAATCTGATATGGCTGTTGTCCATCATTTCTTCACCAGCTATCCTGGAAAGACAATGATGGACCAGAAGGGGAAGAGGTGGAAAAAAATGTATCTGGAAAGAGGAAGTTCGAGGAAAAGATTTATTTTTACTTTAGCTGTAGGACAAATGTACTCATCTTGAAGGTCGTCTGGACAAAACTACTGAAGTCTTTACCCTCTTTCCTCTGCTTAGTGTTACCCTCTACCACTGGTGTCTTAAGATTTTTGTGGCTTCAATTAAATATGAGAGTCGATTTTCTCATTTTTGAAATGACTTAATTTATTTTCAGGATTATCATGCATTCACTTTATCACAAATGGCAAAGCTCCAGCTAAAGGAGGAATTAAACCCCAAGAAGCTGAAGCTTCTGATCTGAGATCTTTTGATCCTCTTCAAGAATGGTGGATGTAGAAGGAAACACTCATTAGAAAGTAAAGGGAATGGTTCCCCTGTACTGCACAGTGTGTGCTGCACAGCACCAAAGGTGTACCTTGTTGACATGTGCCTATTAGATTGTTTGCAGGCAGTATGAAAATATTTGTCTGTGATGCAAGTGATCTTCCAAATAATTACTGAGTAATTACTGGAAAGTGATGTCTTGTGCACCTAGCCAAGAGATTGGTGAAAGGTTGAAATAAAACTTCTGTATGGTGGAAGTATATTTAGTGATAGTTGAGATTCAGTAGCTAAAACTTGTCAATTGATTGTTGTCATTTGATCTATTTCCCTTTAGGTGCAGAGGAACAAACTCTTGAACCGTTCTTTTGAGGTTTTTGATCTGCTCAGCACTTGGGAGTGTAATGGTGCTGGTGCCCCAAATGTTTCAAAATCTCCAAATGATTAGTCTGCTCTTGGGGCCTCCTTTAAAATTTGTTTTGATAACTGGTATGAACAGAAGTCAGCTGCTGTCATCCTTACGCAGATCGTTCTCCTTTGCAACTATATGTGAGAGGAATCCACGGGTTTCTTTCCTTATCACCTATTCTAGGGCATTTTAGTAGATGAGAAATCAAAATTCTCAACCTTTTCTTGTTCAATATAGGATGCAAAGTGCTTCTAGCAAGACAAAGAAAACAGTGGAAATCCCTTCCCACAAAAAAAAAATATATATTAATCTGCACATTAGTCCCTCGTGTTGTAGAGATGTGTGTTCCATTCTGTCTTCTTTTCATTAGAAGCACCAGATTGCCTGCAATCATTTTCTCAGTACTTTCACTATTTTTGCAACCACGCCAGGAGCACAGCAGCTGTAATGCTCATACTCATAGAAGCTTGAAAGCACTGAAAATCTGCTGTAATAAGACATTCATTTGAGAAGCTGCACCTTTCAAGCAGTAAGAAAGTCCTGACTGCAGAAGTTTACACTTAGATAGCATCTAACTGCGTGCATGCGTGATAAATAAGGATGGAAGTCCTGCAGACTTCCTGCAGCACCCGTGTTTTTGCAGTAGCCCTTACATGTGGCTATCACAAGCACGCAGTTAGGGCAACATGAGTGAACGATAAGTGTCACTATTTTTTTTTACAAGCAGCACAGGCACGTGGTTTTATCGCTTTGTATTTCCATCACTGCGGTTTAGAAATACACTGTGGTAAGAGGCAGGACGGCTGTGGTCTAACTGTCCCCAGCTTATCGCCCATTTCCATCGCAGCCCACCTCCTCTGAACTGGTTGTGACTGGTTCAGTTTACAGGTTTTTTCCACTGAACAACCAAAGCTTCCTGCCATTAGCCGCCCCTGCACCCCGCGCCTAAAAACATCCACTTGTCCTCCTGTTTGGGCCAAATAAATAAGTACAGAAACATGCTATAAGCAGCATGTGCCTGTATAAATACACTACAGGGGCAATGTGATCTGTTGCAAAATGTAAGAGTTGAGCTATGTACTTGAGAAACCCCATCGACTGTGAGGTAAGAGCAATTCTGAACATCGTTCAGCACTGCTTATGGGCAGGGTTCTTTGGTCAAAAACCTTAAAAGGCCATGCTTTCTCACTCTTTTACTGGGCAACACGGACAGCATCTTTTGATTTTGTACATGAGACAGCACAAGTGGATCTGAGGATGATTTTAGTAAAAGCAGACTTGATTCACTTGCTTTTTTCACTTGATTCAAATGCTTTTCTAGCCTGACGGACTAGCAGGTGTAATGGTGAGGGAGGCCTGGACAGTGATATTAATTATGTTACCCAAATCTACAGTAAGTGCATTTCCCAAATACTTTTCTCGCTGTGTTATTTCACTTGCATTGGAATCAAGCCTTAGCAAATAATAACGCAGGGTATCAGCCCGTTGTCAAAGAGAATATGACTAAAGATCATAGAATCTCAGAATCTTAAAGACTGGAAGGGATCTCTTGAGGTCATCTATTCCAACCCCCTGCTAAAGCAATTCCCTAAAGCAGGTTACACAGGAAAGCATCCAAGGTCTTGAGTATCTCCAGAGGGGACTCCACAACATCTCTTGGCAGCCTCTTATCCTCTAAGTAAAGAAGTCATTTCTCATGTTCAGATGGAAGGTGAGAAATGTGATCCAGTTTGTACCTATTGTCCCTTGTCCTATCACTGGGCATCACCAAAGAGAACCTGGCCCCATGCACTTGGCTCCTGCCCTTCAGATATTTAAAGCATCGATGGGATTTTACCCTTGAGTGTTCTCTTCTCTAGACTGAAAGTCCCAGGTTTCTCAGCCTTTTCTCATAAGGGAGATTCTCCAGGATCCTAATAATTTTTGTAGTCCCCATCTGGACTCTTTCTAGAAGTACCCTGTCTGTCTCAAGCTGGGGACACAGAAATGGACACAGCACCTCAGATGTGGGCTCACCAGAATGGAGTAGAGGAGGAGGAGGAGAACCTCTTTTGACCTGCTGGCCATACTCTTTTTTAACAAACCCATTGGCCTTCTTGGCTACAAGGACACACTCCTTGCTCATGGTCAACCTGTTGTCCACCTGGATACTTAGTTCCTTTTTTGTAGAAAGAACAGTTTGTGCTTGACTGTCCCTTTTCTTCCTATTCTCATTCATTTGTTGAGCACTTTGTACAATTAAATTGTCTTTCTCTTCATCATCCATCATTCTTGTCTTTTGTCATTCTGCTGCCTCATCAGTAAGGTTGTATTATAGAGACCTAGCTCTGTATCTTTATTTCCCTTTTGCTTGTGACAGATACCTTCTCCATTCTAAAGTTAAATGTACTCCTGCTTCAAGAACAGAAGTTTTGTTTCCCTGCTTCTCTTCTAGACATCACCCATCACCCTATTACTAAAGGCTCACACACAGACTCTGTAAACAGAGGTAAGGTACCATGATAAGGATCCTGTGTTGATACAGCTGGCTGGACCATTTCTTTTGAGCCCAGTCTGTCTCTATTTTGTTCCCTGAAGTCACTTTGACTCTCAAGCTGATGTTTGCAAAGCTTGACTGAATACAGGTGAAAGATAATTACATTCCATCAGGTTTTGTAAATATTGAAGCTAGGGCAGTGCTGAAATAGCTCAGCTAGGAGAGTGTTAGACTGAAGATCTAAAGGTCCCTGGTTGAGTCTTCAATGTCAACAGTGGTTTTCCAGTACTTTTGAGGGTTCCAATTGTGGGCTCATCAGTATAAGACAAACATGGCATGGAGGTTGTGGAGAAAGCCCAGTAAAGAACCAGGAGAGATAATCAAGAGACCAGAGTATCTCTCATATGGGGAGAGGCTGAGAGATTTGCTACGGGCTGCCATGGAAATACTCAAAAGACATCTGGCCACAGACCTGAGCAACCTGCTCTAGGCAGCCTCTTCTAGAGCAGGGCTGCAAGCCAAGATGTTGTAACAGCATGTTGTTTCTCCCCAGCTTTGCTGTTCAACAGTTAAGACTTAATGGGTTAATTTTCATTTTTCTACGTAGAACTCTGTCCCCGTTTAAAAATAGGAAAAAAAAAAGAAAAAAAAAGAAAAAAGGATGGTTGTAAGGATCCTTCATTCTCCAAGGAATTCAATGAACATGGAAAATAACCAAGTTTTCAGGACACGTGCTACAGCCTGTAGAACAAATAGAGGTCTCACAAATGCCTCTCAAGGAAAGCTTTTATTGCTCTACATCATTACAGGTTTGGTGCAGGCATTCATCTCCAAACTTGGACAAGCTCTAAATTAGCAAAACCTGGAGACGAGGAGTTCAAAGTACAGCATCTAAGAGTTTTTCCTGTAAGGTGAGAACACTTTCTCTATTGAAGCACCAGATATAAGGTTTTGCTGAGTTTGAAATGATTTCTCTAAACAAGGTGATAACTGCAATCACTTTGTACCTTTAAAGACACAATATGCAAGTTTTCAGTTTGTGCAGCGGTGCTACCCTGTGCCCTGGTGAATTTCTTAAATTTCTGTAGATATGCATGTTAGAATTGCTTTTATGTTCATCAAACTTGCTAGAAGATAATATCTTTGCTTTTAAAAATCATGCCTAGTTGAGTCTCTTAAAGCATTTATCACTTCAGAATATTCAAGTCCTGATTTGGTGGAGTTGCAATAAATCATTGAAAGTTAAATATATATATAAATGCGTTTTCAGCACTGGGATGCTCCTAACTAATCCTTAAATGCGATGATAAAATGCATCAATGTTTTATGTTTTGAAAGTTCCATTACATATGCACGCAAAAATACTTTAAGCAGGAGGAGGTTCCTCACCTTGCATTACAGCATTCCTACTAAAACCCTACGTAAACTTATATTTTTTGCTCACCTCCACCTCAGTTCAATACTCAGAAAAAATTAGGAAAACACTGACAGTGAAGCACAGCAGACCCTATATGGCTGTTCTCTCAGGATTGTTTTTGTTGCGTGGAGAGCAGGAGAGCCTATCTGGATAATTACACAGCAAAGCAAATTGAAGTCAATCTTATAAACCTTTCCAAACCCAGGATTCATGTTCTCTTTCCCGAGGGCTTAGCTGCATTCCCCGTTCTGTACTTGAAGAAGAAGAAGAGTACGATGACGTAGTACATGGAGCTTTTCAGAAGCAGAACGACGTACACCAACTGCGCTGCCTTGTGCGTCAAGTGATCTGTAACAGATGTGAGGCAGAAAATTCCTGTTGAACACCAGTATTGTACAACCTCCAAAAAGAAACAGGTAGTACTGTGTGGTACATTTATGTGGGCTGCAATGGAAATATACAATACAGCGTCTGATTGTCCCCTGAGCAGGCTGCAGATGGGGCAGATTTCTTAGTGTTAGACTGGCTGCCAGGTTATCATTCCCTGCAATGCAAGAGCTTCTGGCTCTTCCACCATCAACAACACCGTGTTTCCTGGAATCATTTTGCGTCAGTTTCTTGACACAAGTGCCCAAAGTATTTCCTAAATCCTCATGTAATCTAAAGGAAAACTTCTTTGCAGGTCGCTAGTCTGAAGGAGCATCAGCTCAAGCGTTGTGCGTTTAACTATGCTGAGTATTTAAAGCAGTGATACTTAATGCAGGCTAACAATCCAGAGCAGCAGCCCAAACAACATCTGCAACCAGCTAACAAAGCCCAGCGAAGGAGGGCTGCTTTTTACACTCCACAACATGGTGATTCAGAGTAGTGTGGAAGCCTTTCTAAGTTGCAGACCCCAGAATTTAACAGGTTTCCTGCAAGCTATTTAAAATGTTGGCATTGTTCATATTAAGCGATATCTAGCTTTCACATTGCTTTCCCCTATTTTAATTCATTGTCATTACCTTTGTTAAAAACTGTTTCTGTTTCTGTGCTGTTTCTAGATTCAGTGCCACAGTCCGGCTCCTGAGAAGTGCTCTCTGAAGAAACTAATGGAAAGAGAGTTTAAATGACAAAATTGGACTTCAATTTTAACAAAGGTTAACGTAGGGCTAAAAAGAAGAGCAACAGAGAAGTAGAAGTTAGTATTAAAAAAAGTAGGACGTTCAAAACATATCTGTAGATGAGTTGTCCACCAGTAGGATTCCATCACAGGGGGAACTGAAGGGGACAAATGTTGATGCAGAAGTGAATGAGCGTTTGTTGCCTTCACCATGGGCTTTGCTTTTGCCCTTTTTCCCTCTGTTAGGCAGATTTTTGTCAGCAGCTCTTTAATTTTCAAATTGAAGTCAATCTGAGCACCTGGTTGTCACTCATGTTCCCTCTTGGGAATTTGTTATTTTAGTGGTAGGTTGGTGTCTCTAAAACAATCTCCCTTTCTTTGAGCTTTTTTCTTTTTGGGTTTCTTCTCAGTTATGGTATTTGAATTCATTGAGAATTCAATGAATACATACCTCTGTTAAAATACACTTGAAACATATTTTTGTCAGAGTATATTTTGAAAGTAATAGTTATGTATGGCTGTGTTTTCATGGAGTGGAGCTGTACTCCTTTATAGCAAGTTGAGCTCAGGAAGGATTCACCTATCCAGAATAAGGAGTCTTCTCTGTGATGTTACCATGATTCAACCAGTTTGTAGATTTAGACCAGTTACTGTAGATTGCTTTTTTTTCCCCCTCTGAAACTGTGTTGGCTTTCAGATTTTTCTTCAGATAATCAGTTTCCCAGCAATTAAATGAATTCTTTCTTTTTAACGTGGTTATTACCTCAATGTCACCAGGCCAGGAATAAGTAACACATTTAAACATTGCTCTACACCCCCATCAGCCTTAATTTTACGTCCTTCACTTATTACAGCCACGACTGATGTCAGAGGGATTGATGCCTCTGACATTTACAGCTGTAACACTGTTTTGAAGAAATTCTGCATACTGCCAAGTAAGTCAGTGCAGACCTTTTGGTGCAACTCTACTTTACACCTGGTAGCACTGAAGAACTACAAAGGACCTTCACTTGGCAAACTCAGCACAGATTGATTTTTCTCTTGGAAAAGCTTTGATTGCTTCTACTGATAAGAACTTGAGTTATTGTGGCTAGGAATACAGAAGCTTGCAGGAGTAGTCATGTACAGCATTATTTCTGGAATTTTACTGGAAAATAAAAAATCATTAAATAAAGGAAATAAAGACATAGTAGGTAGAGTAAAAAATTTAAAATGTAATACTTACCATGCGTGGGCAGTAAAAGTTCTCCACTTTCATGCTCCAAATGGCAAACATATTTCTTGTTTTTGTTTTCCAATGGTACGGATAACCAGGAGCTGACTGAGTACTTATCCTCATTTGGAAACTTCCAGACATCTCCTTTTACTACATTCTCTGTTACCTCCTTTTCTGCTTCGTCGATCCATTTCACCCGAGCAACTTCTGGGTAGAATTTCTCAAAAAGGCAAACATACACTAGTTGGTTTTCGTGTTCCTTCTGCAGGATTTCAGAATTCTCTGGTTTAGAATTTCCTTTCTCTGGATTTATTTTTTGAGGGGAAAAAAAATAACAAAATGAAGAGTTGGAATCTTGGTAGTGTACAGCAGTACATTATGGGTATTCAGAGACAAAATATTTCTTCTCAACAAGTACTTTAGCTCTCCAGTTTATCATGAAATACTTAGGATGGGAATAGCAATGGCTCATGTACAAAATACATTTTAGGTAAGTGGATGGATGGATTACAACCCTTGCTATCCTTTATGTAAAAATAAGCTTTCTTTTGAGCTGACTGTTCTTGACATTTAGACATGGTTTATATTAAATGAATTTAAATTATTAAATCAAAATCTACCACTTGGGTTCCAGTCAAAAACAGTTACAAGACTCTTTTGAATAACTGGGAATAGAAAATAGGACTTTCAATCTTATTTTAAATATGCTATTTCATAGAGAACTAACACCAAATTGATTGCAAAATTAGAAGATTCACTTAGAACGGTCTAAACTCAATGTTGTTTTTACAACATACAGACTCCTCCAAGTCCAGAGAATGTTTGATAGAAGCTTTCATACTCTGCCACGCGCATGGCGAAACATCATTTAAATTCCAAATTGTTCAGTGAACACTAATATCTAGATAGCTTTGCTCATGCTTCTCCTCAAGCAGCACATCTGATAGAGAAAGAAGTTTTTATCAGCGTACTTTAAAAATGGTCTCTCAAAAGATTTCTTGAGTGCTTTATTAAATTAAATTTTATCTGGTTAGTCAAAATCTTAGATACGTGCTCAAAAATGTTTGGAGGGTTTTTTTTTTGTGTGTGTGTTTTTTTTTTTTTTTTTTTGGGAAACACGTTAAGAAGCTGAAATATTGTTGAATATATTCAAAACCACTCTCCCTTGCAGCTGAGTCAGAAGATATTAGGGGACTATAGGACCGTCTATATCCCATGGCCTTCTCAGCAGAACTGCTGTCAGAGTCTGCATAGGTCATAGACAATTATTAAATAATAAGTAATAGTTCCAGAAAGAGCTGTGTTCATTTATTTATTTGGGAGCAGGAATTTGGTAGTGCTTTATAATGTTGATGCAAAAATAACTACGCGGTGATTTTGTCTACAAAATTTTAAAACTGGACCCCTACCTTTCAAATCTTTGCAGTTGTATGTCCCCATTATAAAGCCAACAATACGCTGCTAATTAATGAGCATCTTCTGTACAGAATTAATTCCTTTAAATGCGGTATTAATTCTGTGATTTTTGGAACAAAGCAGGAAATGGCAATAAACTTTCCTTTCTCTTTCCCTTTTTTGTTTTTTTTTTGGTTTTTTTTTGTGAAGTTCTACATGTTAGATCTATGTAAAGGCCTTGATAAAGCCAGGAAAATGCGACCACAAAATGCTCTGGATGTGGGAGGTTGGTGGTGTTTTCTTTTAATAGTGGGCTTGTGGGAATGTTCCAATTAACACAGCTGAAAAGGAAAAGACCCCCACAAAGCTAAAGTGGAAGAACATGCAATATTCAGATAACGTTTCTATATTCAAATAGCTTAGCTATCCATACCAGGGATCTAGTAGGTGATGATGTGCTTTATGAAACTTGCTTGATACTTACTCACTTGAATATATTTTAACAAAAAGTGAGCCATTTCCACAATCCACAATCTGTAGCTAATTTCCATTTCATTTGTCTCTCTGGGATAAAGCACATAGATAATGAGTCTATGCTTAATTGCAAGTAAGAACTTGCAGTTTTTGGAATTCCCTTCTGTTGTGCAGAAGGTACTGCTAAAGAATGATTCATTTAGTTTTCTAAGGTAGCAAAGAGATTTAGTGTTTGTTTGCAGAGTGACCTGGCTGAGTGGTGCAGTTTTCATACGTTATGAGAAAATATGTTAGTATAAACTTACATTTTTGTCAAAATGCTTTGACATTTCTTTAAATGATCTAATTGTGCTATAGCACTCATACAGCACCTCGTATTTAGGGTTTAAATGAAAGGATGATGAAAGCTAAGATAAGACTGTCTGCCAAGAACTCTTTTAGTATGGATTTCCCTCATATCAGAGTGTTGTCACTGAAATGAGAATGTGGACTGAGTGTTCTGCTTTTCCCAGAAAGAGACTTGCTAACGATCTTATGGCTCTCTATCATTAATTCAGGGGTTATTTTTGTCTTATTTATTCATCAGGCCTTCCATGGATGCAAAATTAAAGCCTTTATCAAGACAATTTGTTTCAGAATCGTATATATTCAGAAGGCTGTGATGTAGCTCTTGTTCCAGTGACATTGTGCTCTGCTGGGACTCATTGCTATTGCAGATGTTTCTTTTAGATTTTCAAAGCTTAAGAAATTACCATGCCTAATTTTGTGGGCCAGATCTTAATCATCTGGTTTGATGTCTTTCTCTTGGAATACCACATTTTAATAGACAGAAAGAGATGCTTCCAGCTCTAATTTCATCCTGCCCATGTTAGGGACTTTTATTACGATGGAATAACTTCCACCTCTAGAATTGCTGGTGTCGTTCCTTGTACCATAACAAGACCCTATGTGCTTAGCTTAAATGAGATACTGAAATTGTACAACAAAACTGAGGAAATATGCTGCTTCCATAGCTGTGACTTGTCTACATAGGAGAGTCTCGCGTGCACACACAAATAAATGAATGAGAAAGGAGAAATGAACAAATTAAGTTTTTCCAGTATGCATGAAAATACATGTGATTGTGTGTGAATATATATATATATAAGCTGCAATTAGCAGAAAAAAAAAAAAGTTAAAAACCCGTCAGTAGATTTTGATGTATTTTCAGGCTTATCTGTAAAGTTATTTAAGTCAACAAGCTGATTCACACTGACTTATCTGTGCACAAAATCCAATACGTTCTGAAGAATTTTGAACTTGTAAATGTCCACTCTACACTCTGCTGCCTTTTTTTGTTTAGTTACACTCTCAAAATCATATGCTGCTTATTTTATTGAACAGTTCTTTTAGGCAGGTTTGAAGAGGCAGCCAAGTCTTTTTAAAATAATATATAACCATGTAAACGTAACCTGCGGATAATTCTTAAGCAAGTGCATGGCTTTTCTTATAATAAAGCAGGGAGACTTGGGTTGAAATTTTAATTATCCTTTTTTGGATGGCCCCACAAAATGAGCTGAGAGCACTCAGCTTATAGACAGCATCTTGGTTCTGAAGTGTTGGTGATAACATTGCCTGTGCTGAGCCTCCCCAGGAAACTTAAGGAAGGAAACTCCAATCAACCTTCACTGCACAACTTTGCCATTACAAAATGTAAACAAAATAAACAACGACAACAACAAAAAACACCAACCCAAAACAAAACAAAAAAACAACTTTAGAGGACTTGATGGAAATGAGTTTATGAGATTTGTGCCAGTGCCAAGTATCTGGTATAACCCACATTGCTATATTTCCTTACAGAAAATGTTTATGACATTTTGGCTGGAGAAGTATACCACGTTATGAATAAAGAGAGCAGTCTAGTTATTTAGCTAAAAATTATGTGAAACTATGAGTTCAATTTCAGTTGTCATTTCTATTCCAAAGAGTCTTCAGTGAAATACACTTAAAATTCCATTTCAAGCTGATCTTCACTATTACTTTTTTTAAAAAAATTAGAATAAACCAAAACTGTTGATTGAGCTACCATACATCTTCTACACTTTTGTTTCCCCAGAAAAAATTAATTCTTTTTTAGGGCTGCTGAGTGCTTTTGACCACATGATTTTAAAAGCATTGATTTTATTTGATTATATGATATGAAACTGAGTGCAAGGTCTTAACCACTCATTTTGAATCCTTTTCTTAACCTCTTTCAAATCCTCCAAAGTTCTTGTTTTGTAACAAATTTTATGTCCATTTCTCTATATACTAAAATAAAGATCTCTAAAGATCCGTGGGAGCGGAGGATTTTCAAGCACATTTTCATCACCTTTGGGCAAAATCAGTCTGTTTTGGTGATATCAATATGTGTAGGCTGTATCTCTACCTGAATCTATTAATGCACAAAAGCTGGAACTCATCACACAGTATTGCTCAGCAATCCATTTCCAATTTCTGTGAAATACAGATTGTTTTGGGTTAACAACTATAAGGAGGAAATATTGTATTGGAAGGCAACTGGAAGCACAACTATTATTTAAATGACCTTTATTTAGATAAACCATTTAGACAACTATTCAGTTCTTTCGTATCACGGTGTAACTAAGAACGATTGTGTTTTTTTATTAAAAAATTTGGAGGGGAAAATGGTTCTTATGCCAAAGATGGGACACATAAAGAAACACCTTGGGTTACTGTTTAACTGAATTAACGAAAAGCACTACAGGAAATCTGAACAGCC